AAAATAAACACAGGTATGGGACTCAACAGAATATTAAACACCATAGACACCTCCTTCTCCCCCCCCCCCAAAAAAATACATCAATATACCATAAAATAAACACAGGTATGGGACTCAACAGAATATTAAACACCATAACCCCCTGACAAAATACATCAATATACCATAACATAAATACAGGTATAGGACTCAACACAATATTAAACACCATAAAACCTTCCCCCCCAAAAAAAAATACATCAATATACCATAAAATAAACACAGGTATGGGACTCAACAGAATATTAAACACCATAGACACCTCCTTCTCCCCCCCCCCAAAAAAAACACACACACTCACAAATACATCAATTTGACTCTGGAAATAAAATAACAACACAGTGCAATGCATTTAAAATACTAAAACTTGTATCCCCGTCACACCAAACATGCTCGCCCTTTCAGCCGTGGGGGCGTTATAATGTGACGGTCAAACCCACTATTCGTTGGTAAAAGAGTAGCCCAAGAGTTGGCGGTGGGTGGTGATGACTAGCTGCCTTCTCTCTAGTCTTACATTGGCTAAATTAGGGACGGCTAGCGCAGATAGCCCTCGTATAGCTTTGCGCGAAATTCAAAACAAACAAACAAACAAACTTTCTCGGGTTAAGTTCGTAAGATATTTCATTATATATGTGAGCAAAACATTTGCGGCCAAATTAGTATCATTATTGCAACAGTTTTTCTTTTAGTACAGTATTTCTAGAGTAATACAAAAAAATACTAATCGCAGATACCGAAATCTGCAAGTCCACTTGTCTTAGTCCTAACATTAGTTAAGCCTTTTTTCGATAAACAGATAAATTAACGCTGTAACTCGTGTACGTTTTTTGCTTTAGTTCAGTTAGGGTTAAACCTTACCGCACTTACTACAATTAATAAATAATCTTCTAATATTATTGTACGACCTAACGTTAGACCTTTTTAAAAACTTTGATAAGCTTTAAATATGTTGTATAAAATATCTACTAAAGTATATCTACGTCCTTTCTGGCGTAACTCAACGATTTAAGAAAGATACGTTTTCAAATTGCGAAATATGTCTTTAATTTTCGATCAGTCGTTGGCTACTAGCTTCTAATTGACAGGAAGCCAAACTACTTAAATTACGTAATAAGTTGCTATGACATCAGTGTGTGACCGAGAGACAGACAGACAGACAGATACACACTATGTTTTATAGTTAAACGTGATGGGAAGCAAATATTCGCCACTGTGCCGAATTTTTCGGCACGTTCTTTATACTGTCTAAACTTTACCAAGTTACTTTGCTTCGTTTCCCGATACAGCGGTTCGATTCCCGCTGTGACACACAGCCTTGGTCTAAAACAAACAAATACTTTTACTTCATCATACGTGCTTGAATAAGATGTGTAGGAAGATGCTAGAAGTACTACATCACGTATAATTATTATGAGGTGGATTCAGGAAACACGTAGATTTACCACATACAATTTATGTATGTAATTTTGCTCATTTTTAAAATCGTTTAGGCAAGGGTTTTTGTAGTATGTAGTTGATCACAAATTGTACACCTGTAAAAATATTTGTGCAGTTGAAAATTCACCTATATAGTAAGTCCAAGTGGATAAACATAAAAAAAACAACAACACACATATAAGATTATAAAAATACATTCCAGAGTTGATAAATAAATGTATTTACTAGAATATTCTTCATTTTTTGTGTCATTTGTTACTAGGCCTGTATATATATATATGAGGTGTAATAAGACGTCATGTATTAAAAATGATGAAGTTAAAATATAATTTTGTAGTTAAAATATAATTGTGTAGTTGAAAAAATTATTAGTAAAAGCTCTGTGTTTATCAGTACTATAAATGCAGATGTTTATAGGCCTGTCAGTCCTGGCTCCAACTTTTTATTAATTTGGGAGAAAGGGGGGGGGGTCAATGAAACATATAATGGAGTCAGATCTGTAGTTAAATTAATGGACGGTATTAGCTTGAGGAAAACGGTATTTCAGGGGGACCGTCCCCCTCTCACCGTCGGCTTTGAGGCGCTTAGTGCTCTGCCCTCCACGGGTATCGAAACCCGGGTTCTAGCGTTGTAAGTCCGCAGACATACCGCTGTGCCAGTTGGGGGGGGGTGGACCAAACTCTGGTCATCATTCTAGTCTAGTCTAAATTGATTGCTATTAAGTCTCCAATAGAACCTGGACCATTTTAGAAGAACCCGAATTTTCTTATTTTATGACGAGAGCAAAAAGTTGAAAAAAAAAGAACCTTGGATAATTCAGGTTAAACTTGATTCATAAATGTTTTATCTATTTTTCATAAATTTTGACTCT